GCATTTCAAACTGCCTTTTCATCAAACAAATGTTTTCTCAAGCACATTGAGCTATACTATTCTTTAAGCACATATATTTGCATATATAATTGTGAATATATTTATATCATAAAATTTGAAAATATAGTTTAAAATAAATAAAAACTTTATACATATATATGATAAGAAATGCTATATAGATAGGTGCACAGCCTAGCGAAATATTGGATTCTGTAATAAAAAAAAAATGTTTTATTTTATTTTGATCCAAAATATATGCCTTTTAATTGATACATAAATATATTCTCAGATTCTAAAATGCATATCTTCGAATAAATCACACTATTCTCTAAAATTAGCTTTAGAATATCAAAAAAATAATTCATCTTAAATATTTAAATAGAATAAAATAAACCATTTTTTAGAACAGTAGCTAATAAGGGCTCTTATTAAATCGAACTAGAATAAAATAATGCTCTAAAATATCGTTAATGCTCACATGAACGGTAATATATTTCTAATAGTCGAAAAATTCTATGAATTAAAATTCGAATACGGGACTCTCTTGTCCGTTAGGCGGTGCGAAAATAATACCAATAGATAAACTAACCCTTTTACGAAAGCAGTAGGGTGGACCTTGACATCTATGCGGTTTGGGGACCTGGATTAAAATAATTCATATTAAAACGAATCTTAAAAACCGATAGACAGCCTGGGTAGTTGTCAATCTATAGTACACTCTTAGAGCCTGTATTACCCATATGTTATTACTAATTAGCAATTTTAAGTATCGTAAAAAATAAATAGAAATAAAAATATTTGTAAAATAAACACTATAAATATAAAATACAAACACACTTATAAGGTGAGTGATATAACAAGCTTAAAATTTAAACGAATGAATGAAAATAATAACCATTGCTTAGGATGTTTACCCTATTTATTATTGTATTTCCACCATTCTTTTTAACATATTTGACAACTCCCTGGTTAAAATATAGCATTATTATTTCTATTAATTGATAATGTTCTAAGTGTATTAAGTACCACCCACATTATACTTTACATTTCAATTACTCAATCACCTCAACTATTTAGAGATTCCAAATGTAATTGTAATAAACTTTTTTTGCAAATTCTTCAGTATGCATAAAAGATTAAGTGTCAAATTATATTAATAATACTGTTATATATTAAGGAAATGATATATTTGACCCAATTTAAATATTTTTATCCCTGGGAGGTCTTTAAGACAGGTTTCAATATTTGTCATGTCACAGATGCACTTAATAGGCCACTAGAATCATTTACAGAGACTTTTGTATAGCTTATTATAACATAAGATGTACACACATTATATTTAAATATATATTTCATAACAAATGTTAAAAGCATGTGTATATTAAAATTTTATGACCAATTGGATGCTTCTTTGGAATGTTTATACGTCTGCCATTGTAAAAAAAACCTGCTTCCTGATTGGTTGATTGAATGATCTGCTATAATGACATTATGGTGAAGAAATTAAAACTCTCAATTATTATTATAATTATATGATAAAGCACAATTTGGATTATAAATTATAAACACAAGGTAATAAGACCAAATAAATAAATAGTGTATGACATTTCTGTAACAGTGTTGTTACTGAAACATCACACACTATTTATTTATTTGGATTTGGTCTTATTACCTTGTGTTTATTATAGTTACAAAATGTGTCAATGATGACATGAAAATGGTCATATCTACAATGTTCATTGCTGAGAAAGATATAACTTTGTGTAAAAAATGTTTGTAAATTGACCATAATATTGGTATATCCCCATCATTGTAAGATGATCACAGGCATAATACATCATAAACACAGATCACATGATTTCACTTGTCTCTCCTTCTTTCTTATCTCCACTCAATCATATTAAGGTATCAAGCTTGTCTTCTTCTTCTTTCTTATCTCCACTCAATCATATTAAGGTATCAAGCTTGTCTTCTTCTTCTTTCTTATCTCCACTCAATCATATTAAGGTATCAAGCTTGTCTTCTTCTTCTTTCTTATCTCCACTCAATCATATTAAGGTATCAAACTTGTCTTCTTCTTTCTTATCTCCACTCAATCGTATTAGGGTATCAAGTTTGTCTTCTTCTTCTTTCTTATCTCCACTCAATCATATTAAGGAATCAAGCTTGTCTTCTTCTTCTTTCTTATCTCAACTCAATCATATTAAGGTATCAAGCTTGTCTTCTTCTTCTTTCTTATCTCCACTCAATCATATTAAGGTATCAAACTTGTCTTCTTCTTTCTTATCTCCACTCAATCGTATTAGGGTATCAAGTTTGTCTTCTTCTTCTTTCTTATCTCCACTCAATCATATTAAGGTATCAAGCTTGTCTTCTTCTTCTTTCTTATCTCAACTCAATCATATTAAGGTATCAAGCTTGTCTTCTTCTTCTTTCTTATCTCCACTCAATCATATTAAGGTATCAAGCTTGTCTTCTTCTTCTTTCTTATCTCCACTCAATCATATTAAGGTATCAAGTTTGTAGAGCTTGAGACTTGACAACCATCATGACTGAGTGAAGTAGAATGCGTCTGCCTTTGTCATTAAGAATGGGAGCACTAGATTTCACTAGTGATAAAGCACAATTTGGATTATAGATTATAGATACAAGGTAATAAGACCTAATCCAGATAAATTAATAGTATGTGACATTTCAGTAATAACATTGTTACCATCATCATTTATTATACATGTCGTTTATTCTTTTGTCTTAAGATGATAACAATGCTGTTACCGAAACGTCACACGCAATTAAATTATTTGGATTAGGTCTTCTTGTATTATTTCACTAGGTAATCAGGAACACTTATGGTGACATTAAATGTAAACAAGTGGATATAGGAACCAATTTTACTCTCTCTCCATTCCAAATAATATTTTATATTATTTTTATATATACACATGAGTAGAGGTACAATTTTTAAATTATAGATATGATCAAAAATCTAAGATACAAGAAAATAAGACCTAATCCAAATAAATTCACACACACACACAAAGCCTTTATTAAGACGTCAGTCTTATACAGATTCTCCGTACAAGGTGCAATAACAGGAAAAGAGCAGCACAGGAAACCATTAGTTCCGCAACTATATACAATTATTAGTAATAAGGAAAAGTAAGATTTAATATGAAAGGTCGACGCCATCGCCTCAAGTCTTCAATTTCATAAGCGCGGAGCAGAAATAGGGACTAAGTTATTTAGTTCGCCATAAATATAGCATCCAGACACAAAAAGAAGGTCTACTCCAGCACAGCCATCCATATCACCTGCTCCGCAATCTCATCGTCGACCAACACGATGGCCCCTCGATGTTTCGTCATCATTCTGAGGTGTAAGAACAATAGCTTCCAAGTTCTCTTTTCTCCCTCTTTACACCTACTGCCTTGTAAAAATTATATAGGGCCTGAGCAACTAGTCTACTTGTTTGGGCACTGGTTAACATCGTTTGGATTGACCTAAGTTGGCTGGTGTCTACCGTTGAAAAGAAATCCAAATAAATTAATAGTGTTCAAAACTATTATAGATGCGTATGATTCTTTTAAAAAAAATCAAACAATTATCTATTGCCCTTATTGCAATGAAAAATTAATAGGAGAACCTGGCTCATCAGTGAAGAACCCTCCCAGTGATTTTGCCATTCTAATCTAGGATACCACTGTTATATTGCATTTTTTGGTTTTCCTTTTATATTGATACTGATGGTGACCTCTTGGAAATGCTGAAAAATGCAAAATAACAGCGGTATGGTAGATTAAACTGGCGAAATCACTGGGAGAGTTCACCACTGATGAGCCAGGCCCTTCCATTAATTTTTCCATTGCAGTAAGGGCAGTAGAAATTGTTTTATTTTTAAAAGAATCATACGCGTCTATAATTGTTTCGAATTTTCATAACAGATGGCACGCTAATGTATCAAATTAATAGTGTGTGACATTTCGGCAAGAGTATTGTTACCATCATCAGACAAAAGTATAAAATGAATTTATTCATTGGTATACTTATTTTGGTAACAATGCTGTTACAGAAATGTCACACACTATTAATTTAATTGGATTAGGCTTAATTTCCTTGTATGCATAATCTATAATCCAAATTGTGCTTTATCAACATAGAAGCTAAATAGAGTGTGTGACAATTGTGCCTTGTTTAATTTAAGTCTAACTGGCTTTGTATGAGTTGTTTGTGGAAGAGAATTGTTTGATGTACAAATTGTATATGTAGTTCTACTGCCCATACATGTCCATAGTTTGATCAAACACCATAACCAAGATTCAATCCTATATACAATGTCAAAAATATAGACAGAATTGTCTAATACAATTGATGCACCTTATCCCAGTACAATATCACATTTGTACTATTTTTTCACATTGTGTCGTGGTCTCACGCAATTCTGGCCTTAACTACCCGTTTCATGATTTTTCAGGATGCCTGAATGACCAGTTTTTTTGGTCGTTGAGGTACAGCTTGCACCACGCTGCGAGGGCCAACAGCCCGAAATGCGTCCATGGTTAGCTTTTCTTGATTAATCAAGAATGGGTATTTGACCAATTCTGGAATAATTAAAAATCAACGAGAATAGTTGATATTTATTCCGATAGATGGTGCAAGCCATCAGCAACTTTCATTTGCACGATAAGGAGATGCCTTTTTTTTTCATAGTTGTTTGTTGTTGTTTCTTATCCCCTTGTGTAAAGATTACATGAATTTTCCATGAGTACAAGCTCTTAGAGTTTTTGATGATAGCAGTGGCCTCTCCAAAAGGTCCTGTTTAGTGCATCTAATACAAGCCAAATACAAATGCAAGTCTAAGACAAAGTAGAGCTATAAAAATCAATATGGTAGACAAACTGGTGAAACCGCTAGGAGAGTTCACTATGGATGAGCCAGGCCCTCCCAATATATTTTTTCATTGCACTAAGGATACAAGAAAGTTTTATTTGGAAAAGAAAAATGTGTGGTCGGTGGGTCGGTGGAAGGCTGGTTAAACCGTTTGGTTTACGACCACAACGACCCGGGTTCGATCCCCGCATTGGACACTTTTTTCTGTTTAAAAAAAATGCTCCAATGGCCCCCCGATTCTTGCAAAAGTCCAACCCCACCAGCGAGTGCAAGTAACCAAACGGGGCTCTGGCACATTTGTAAGTGCAAAGTCGAACTGCTTTCACATGTGTAGACATGTGGTGCGCTTACAGTAAAAAGCAGTCGCTAACTACCCACCATGATTATCATGGCCTGTACCACGTGTACTAGGGATAATTGAAAAAAAAAAACTGTTCCAACCTCAACATTAGTTTATTGAATTGAAATGGAGGTGGATGGACAAATGGTATCAACTGTCAATTCTGACAGCCATGGCCTTAAGATTAAATCTCGCATTGTGTGTTGTGGGCACTTTTTCCCCCGAAAAAAACACCCTTTGGCACCCTTTCAGAAGTCCAACCCCACCAGTGAGTGCAAGTCACCATATGGGACTCTGGTATACTTGTAGGTGCAAAAGTTGAACTTCTTCTACATGTGTAGACATGTGGTGTACTTCCAGTAAAAACAAGTGCTAACTACCCACCATGATTATCGTGGCCATGTGTACTTGGGATTTGTTTCACCACCATACATTGAAATAATCATTGATTCCCACCCAGTGAAGCCCAATTAATACATTGAAATCTAATTTGTCAACAGTTGATCTTGCTCTTGGTGGCATATTCATCTTGACTTGATGAATTTAAGTTAACAACTCAATTTCAGATTAAAGGGATATCAATGAATACTTGGAATTTAGTACATTGCCCATTTTTTTGTTTTGCTTCTAAAACATTTTTATTCCCAATTTTTTTTTCTTTGTGTGTACATGTTTTAAGTGATATTGTGTACTAAACTTCACATTCCTCACTGAGCTTTTACTTTCTTGCAAAAGTAAAGCTTCACCAGTTTGTGATATTTACCAAACGGGGCTCTGGTATACTTTTTAAAATTATTATTATCCCTAATACACGCGATATAGGCCATGATAATCATGGTAGGTAGTTAGCGACCGCTTTTATTGTAAGTGGACCGCATGTCTACACAGGTGAAAAGCAGTGCAACTTTGCATTTACAAATGTGCCAGAGCCCCGTTTGGTTACTTGTACTCGCTGGTGGGGTTGGACTTTTGCAAGAATTGGGGGCTGGTGTAGCATTATTTTCAATTTGAAAAAAGTGCCCAATGCGGGATTCGATCTTGGGTCGTAGCGGTGGAAAACCAATGGTTTAGATCACCCTTCCACCGACCCCCCCATATACTGTAAGTGAAAATTTTGAACAGCTTTCTACCTGTGTGGGCATGTGGTGGGCACTTGAATTAAAAGTATTCGCTAACTACCCATTGATGTTTACGAAACGTCACACACTATATATTTGGTCTTATTACCTTCTGGAAAATTCTGAAGATTTCATTGTGGACCTCATGAAATCAATGCCTGTCCTAGACTGATGAGGGCCATTAACCAGAAACCATGGATGTTGTTCCAATTTTACTAAATGATAAGGCACAATTTGGATTATCTATATAAAAAAATCAATGTTTGTATGTTTGTTTGTTTGTATACAAATTCGCAGTAGTTCACTAATTCAAACCAAAATTTCCATACATAGGTAAAAAAATACGGGGAAGGCGATAGGCTATTTAAAAATATATATAAATCAATTATTAAAACTATATATTCAAATTATTCTACTTAGCTCATGAACAGCGCCCTCTATCAAAGATTAGATTAAATTATGCTGATGCAAACAAATAGATAATGCTAATAACAAACAATTATTTTAAAAAAAATCTTATCTAAATATATATCACTCGGGTAGATATGCACATGGGTCAATCCCGGGGCGAAGCCCGGGTCACCCGTCTAGTAGATTATAAACATAAGGTAATAAGACCTAATCCAAATAAATAATTAGTGTGTGACGCAAACATCACACACTTTTTATTTAGAAGATGGTAACAACGCTGTTACCAAAACATCACACACTGTTTATTTATTTGGATTTGATCTTATTACCTTGTCTTTATAAGTTTACCAAAAATGTTTCTATAGAAGTGAGCCTCATTCAACTAAAAGTACTTATTTAGAACATTGTTAGATGTCCAGCAACTGTTGTTTGTGTAGCCGCCAAGATGTTACGAGATACGAAGCAGAAGAAGAAGGAGAAAGAGTCCCACTATCACACAGCTCCTGCGGCCACACATCTTGTAAGTATTACCTCTTCTTTGATTGGCTGGCACAACAAACTATCTAAGAGGTACAATAGAACTACCTCTTCTTTGATTGGCTGGCACAACAAGCTGTCTAAGAGGTACAATAGAACTACCTCTCTGTAGAGGACAACACCAAGTTGCACACCCAAAGTGCTCTTTACAGAGAGGTGTCCCCCTACAGAAGAGAGTTGCTATTATTTTAATGTTAAAACTAAAAAAAAAGTTTTTATCAGCATATTACAGTAAAACCCTGCTAAAATGAAACGGGGATATAGCAGACGTTCCCTTATAATGAACCTACTAAATAAAGCCCTAATGTTAGAAATAACTTATAGTAAACCATGGCTATAGTGAATGTTGTTGTTGTTGCCTATTCCTCAAGTCGTTTAACCCTTAATTACTCGCGCCTATATTTGTTACGTAAGTACTCGCGTTGAGATCCAGGTCTCACTTTAAAAAAACCGAAATATATATTAAATTTTAATATTTGGATTGAAAATTAGGCTGCATTATATTCGTAATTGTGTGTAGTTTATGACACATGTGAACTAAGGCAAAAAATATTTTTATATTTATTTATTTTTATTGAAACAATGACTATAGTAAAAACAATGAATGTTTGACATAGTTTTACAAATAGGCTACTATTAAAAGTTTTAGACGGATATTATTCGCATTCTTTGCAAATTTTCGAAGAATGACGTTGACAGATGTGTCTCCTGTATTTGTAGCAAATAATTTGTGTCATACTACCTTTGGTACTTGGGCAAACATAGCACCGTTTTCGCTTCTTAGGTTCTGACTCTACACTCATTTCGATCTGTGGTAAACAAAAGATTGTTATGTTTATCATTTTAAATAATTTTATGAAATATCTATAACTTACCTCTGGACTTTCAGCCTTCTTGCAATGCAATATTATCAGGTCATGGAGACTTCTTGGCAAGTTTTTCAATTGGGATCGAATTTTTAAATGATCCTGGAATAATTGTAGGGAAATATTTTTCAAAAATATTCTTCTTGGAACTCGAGGTGAATTTATATTTAAAGACTTGAAAATTATTTCTGAATTTATGCCTGCAACATTTAGTAGGTCGAAAAATAGGCATAGAGGCCATCTGTTGGTTCGACGGCCAACAGAATAAGTTCCACACATTTGGTTTACCATGTCAACCCCGCCTTTAGTCAAATTATAAAATGTTGCAATTTCAGGTTTTAATTTGAATCCACTTTCTTCGTCAATTGTGGGAGTTGAGTGCATTGTTGAGAGCAATAGAACAGCCTTGCTCTTTTTTGGGATATAAGATACAAGGGTGGTATTCTGAGTGAAGCCAAATATACTATTATATTTTGGTCTATTCCTATTGGGCAGAAATATTTTAGGGATTTCCTTTTTATTTTTTTTCAAAGTGCCAACTAAGGTGAGTTTATGTTCTGTAAGAAGATCTTGGGATAATTTATAACTAGTGTACCAATTGTCTGTTGTTATATGTTTCGGCTTGTCCCAGATATTGGAGTGATCAATCTTTTTACGATATCATCGGGTGAATTACTTTTTTTATATGGACCATCGGGTTGTTTTCCGCAATATATTTCAAAATTAAAGGTATAAAATGTTCTTGCATCACTAATGGTATATATTTTGAGCCCATATTTTGCAGGTTTGTTGGGCATATACTGTCTAAAGCCACACCTGCCACGAAATGGAATGAGCTTCTCATCAATTGTATTATATTCACCTGGAGTATAGAGCTTTTTACAGTTATATACAAAGGCTTCTACAAATTCTCTAATTGGAGCAAGTTTGTCCAGCTTTTTTCGTTCTTTCCTTGTTGTAATATCATCAAATCTCAGGCAACGTAGAAGAAATAAAAAACGATCTTGTGACATAATTGCTCTCACAATTTCTACTCCTGAGCCATCCACCGCCCATTGCTCTTTATAAGTTAAATGAGCAGCTCTTTTGACACCTGACATTTTCAAAAGTCCAAATAAAGCTAGGATTTCTGTTACAGTAGTTAATTTGGCATCTCTTTCTCTAGAGAAATGTTCTTTGATATTGCTTATATAAGCATTCGTACAATCTACAATTTTTTGTACCATATCATTATCAATTATTTTTGTAAATGCATCCGATTCAGATTCTATCGATTTTGCTTTAGATTTAGGCCCTGGCAATTGAGAAATTATATTTACACTTCTTGTACGAATCTGGGTTTTCTGCCACATTGTCTTTTTCCATTTTGTGACACCATCCTTTCCAAAATAAAATTCAGAATCATCATTTGGTAATTCTTCATCCGCCTCTGAATTCTGTTCAGAGTCTGTGTCATGATAACTATAAATTTAGGTATCAGAAGTATCGGATAAATCACAAATTATTTCATCGCAATCCATGTCGGATTCACTCTGATTCCTCTCAGAAGTACTAGCCATTTTTTATAATATAATATATATTTTAGGAAATATTTAGTATTAGAATATTGAATAAAAATAAATAAATTATAAATATCTAAGAGAGACAGAGAGAGAGAGAATTTAGGATATTTAGGAACAAAGAATATACTTAGAAGAAGAACAATAACTTACTGTTTTACGAAGATAGAGCCAGCCGGAAAATGAAACCTAAACCAAAATTATTACGCAGGTACTCGCGTCGAGACGTTTGTCTCGGCGGTGGCTTTTTTGTTTTATTTTTCTTCCTTCTAGGGGCCAAGCGATAGAACAAATGGTCTAAAATATTTATTTCGATGCTATCTTAAGCTACAAAAACTTACAAATTATTTGGACTCGAAAATCGTA